CCCCCCCCATAACAGTACCTGGGACCTTTTGGGCTAATCCAAGGACTGGCCCGAAACTCGGAGGCTAAGCGAGATCACAGTCCCTGCTGAGAGCCCAATACCCCCAATGAAGACCTACTTGTCTATTTAGGGCCTATGAGTTTAGGGTTTAGGGTTTAGGGTTTAGGGTAGTATCATTGGGATAGCCTTTGGGATTCTCTAGGGATTCCAGTAGAAGCCCACAAGTTGGAAACCCAATAGTTCGCCTCAACCCTTAAGAGTCATGTTTAGAGAATCCCAGCACTGTTTGCCTTTAATCCACCCTAAACCCTAAACCCTAAAAAACCCTAAACCCTAAACCGTCCGGCTTCCAGCTTCTTCGGGGCGTATCATGTAGTACCCCAAACGAGGTTAAAGGTCTCCAACTCTGCTACTCAGAAAAGGGGTTATGTATACCTTATCCTGAGGCATCCTGAAGCCATAGAGGGATCCCTGATGGGGTTCAGGGTTGGTTGCGGCACGGCGTGACAATCTTTACCCTGCAGGTCCCAAAAACATTGTACTTGTACGGCATTGAAGCCCCCAAAAACTATGACTCATTTCCTTAGACCCTTCGGGGCCACAGAATATCGAACGGTACAGTAGTTCTGGACCAATTCTGTTAACTTTGAAACTCGTCTTTGGGACATAGTTATAGACCTTCGAACGAGTGCTTGGCGCGTTTCGGTGTAAGAGACTCAAAGATGAGCATGACAAGCTCTGCGTAGGTCTAGCGACAAGTCCCAATCCTTGGATCCTTCCGCGGCAGGAGGAAGTCTAGGTGCTCAGGGCTGAAACCAAACACAAAGATACCCAAAGCCCTGATACCCAAAGGGTCCAAGTACTGGTATAGTATATACTTTTGGAGCCCAAATACCAACAAAGTACCTACTATAATGGTACTTGGACCCTTTGGGATATTGATTAACAATGATTCTTGCTACAGTTTTTCTTTAGTCTTACGAAACCCACAAAACCTAAACCCTAAACCCTAAACCCTAAACCCTAAACCCTAAACCCTAAACCCTCGACTCCCTTCGGCGTTCCCACTTCTTGCTCTAAGCAGGACGGGGCACCGGAGCTGAAAGTGACCTCGTTCGGGAGTACCTGGCTCACCCTAACCCTCAAGGTACCTACTATGCGGATTTGGGTTTAGGGTTTAGGG